TACATAAGAGTTCTCATGTTTTAAAACAAGAGCCGAAAACTTCAATATAATTATTTGAATTAAATTGAATTAAAGTACTAATCTCTGTTCCATCTTCAAGCGAATTTTTTTTTTTGAATAACTTATTTCTGAAATTTACGTGTTTTATAAGCATATTCATTATTGAAATCAAAATTTCTATGGTAACGGCTAGAGCAATTGTTTAAATAGAAAAGGGGTGTAAGGTGTTAATAATTTGTATCAATATCTCAGTTACATTCACAGATGTCAAGTCAGGGTAAGGTTGGGGTGTCTAAATTTAAAACGGAAGATGACATCGTCTAGTCTGGTTAAGTGTCTATGGAGATTTATTTATTTTTTTTTTTATTTTTTTTTTTTTTTTTCTGAAAGGGTTTTGTGTATATAAAAAAAAACTGTCGTAAATCGCTAACATTTGTTTTTTTTGACGACTTCATAAAGGGTTATCTTTTTTTTTTAGGGCATTTTAACTATTTATTAGGACTATGGATTTTAAAAATTATTTTATTGTTTGTTTGTTTTTTTTTTTTATGCTAATTATTCAATGCAAAAATTTGATGATGTCGGCAAAAAACCGTTAACTCATGTCTATTGTTTAATAGATTTTTATTATTTAGAAACTTAATAATGTGTAGTTTTTCATGTAGGCATAAAGGGCATGGGTCATCCCAAGTTTTACAAGTTCTAGTTTTGTTTATAATTTTCCATTTTACTTTTGGTGTTTTATTCATTTATAAATATATAAAATATTTATATAATGTGTAAAGTTTTTTTTTATTTATTTTTTAATAATAATTGTTATATGTATCCATCTAAAGTATTAAAAATCTGTCTTCTTGTATGAATATATGTATTAATAAATATATATATATATATTGTATGGATATATATATACATTTATAAATAACTTCAAATAATGTTGCATTTAAATTATTATTTACAAATTTATTTTGGTCAGGGATTTCTTTTTTATTTTATGTATTTTGTTTTTTTTTTTTTCATTCTAACCGAATCCCTAGGAATTTTATTTAATGGGGATTTTCTTATAAATTTAATTTTTTAAATTCAAAAATGTAAAATGAAACAAATTTAAAAAAAAATTTTCTATTTATATTATATAATATATATATATAAATATTCCAAATATTAAAATATATATTTTGTTGGATATCTTATAAATAAAATACAAATATATATTTTATTATTTAAAAATACACAAGATTTTTATTTTTACATACAAACACACACAAACATATAATATTAATATATTTATCTTTTTGGAATATATATCTTATTTTCATACTTGATATTATATATTGTTTTTTTTTTATTTACATTTCATTACATTTCAAAATTTTAATTTTGAAATTTTTTTTTGATAATTTTTTTATAATTTTTTCTGTCAAATCCATTTAAAATTATAATAAAATATTTATCCTTCCCTTAAATTTATTTAAAAATATTTAAATTCCCTTTTATCATAAATTTATATAAATATTGTTGAAATTTTTTGTTTGCCAACCTAGGTTTTTTATTTAATAATATTAAAATAAATAAATTTTTAATCCTTTTATTTTATTTAAAAAAATAAATTCATCACATTTTGAAAAAATAAAATTTTGATTATATATAATACAATCAAAATCAAATTTTTATTTTTCAATAAAGAATATTGATATATATATATAGACTTTTTCATATATATAAATATATAATATATTGATATATAAAAAAAAAAAAAAAAAATATAATTTATAAAAAAATATAAGCCGTAAAAACTGCTAAATAAATTTTTATATATCTAGTATATTTTCAAAAGATAAAGTTTTTTATTTTTTTATAAATTTTTTTATTTTATTTATTAAAAATATTTGATTTTTTATTTCTAAAACAAATCCAATTTTTAATTTTTATTTCAAATTTTTAAAGTTTTTTTGTTCATTTTAATTTGATTATTTATTTATTAAATGTTATATATTATTTTTTCTTATATATAAATATATATATATATATATATTATCATTTTTTTTTATATTATATAACATATTTAGAGAAAATGGTTAAATAAAGCAAAAATTTTTAAAAAAGATAAAAAAATTTAAAAAAAAATAATATTTTCTTTATCAATTTTTTTTTTTTGAAATCCATCATATAAAACTGAAATTATTTTCATTTGATTTATTCAAAAAAATTTTTATTCTTTATTTTTTAGGATTAATGTTTTATTTTTGTTTTTTTTTCCTTCTGTGTTTTTTTTTTTTTTCATAATTCCTAATTTTTTTAGAAAATGAATTCTTCCTAAAATTCATAAAACATATAATTTTTAAAAAATTTTTAATAATTCAATATATATATATATTCCTATATATATATATTTTATATATATATATATATATATATTATTTTTATTCAATTTTTTCCAAAAAATTGATTTATAATTTTTAAAATTTTCTTTTTCAAATTTTTTATATTGTCTCTAATTTTCCTTGGTTTATTTAAATCAAATTTTCAGAAGTTTTGTATAAAACGTTTTTTTTTTTTTTATTTTCAAAAAAAAACTTTTATTTTTTTTTCATTTTTATTCTTTTCAAAACATGTTTCTATTCATTCATTCATTACTAAATTTATCTACAATTTATTTTTTTCATTTTTCTTTCAATTCATTAAATTTTAAAAAACATTCATTTTTAAATTAATTTATTAAAATTTTCATTATATAATTTTCATATCAATTTTTTTGAATATTTTTTTAAAATGGAAAAATATATTCTATTTCTTGAAAAATAAATAAGACAATAAAACACTCCAAAAAAACTTGTGGAATTCCATTTGAACTAATCTTTTTAAAAAATTTTGACAATCGAAATTAAAAGAATTTAACAAATATGCAATTAATTATAAAAATTCCCTGATTTTAAAATGCCATTTTTTTTCAAATAAATTTTTTTTTATTTATTTTTTTTAATTTGTATAAATATTTACTAAAGTAAAATTTTTCTAATTATTTTGAAAATTTGGCTTTTTTTATTTATTTTGATTTGATAAATTTTTTTTTAAATCAATTTTTTTTCTAAACATGAAAAGAAATGGGCATTCAAAATTTATCTTTTATATATTTTACATTTCTAAAATTCAGTTTGAAAAAAATCCTTTTTTTAAAATTTTCAATTTTTATTCTATTTTAGAATAAATTTTAAATGAAATTATTTTTTCAAACCTTCGATTTTTTTTATAAAATAAGATATTCAAAAAAATTTTTTTTTAAACCCTTTCAATAAAAAACGCAACATCAAAAAAGTTAAATTTATTTTTTCTAATGGTTTCAAAGAATAAAAAAAAATAACTATCGAACAATAAAAAAAAAAAAAAATTCAAATCAAAAAAAATGATTTTGAAAATAATTAAATAAAATTTATTTTATTTTAAAAAATAATTTTTGTAATCTTGAATTTCTAATAAAATTATAAAATATAATTATTTTCTGTTTACAATTTAAATAAAAAATTTTTTTTATGTTAATTTTTTCTCCCAAATTCAAATATTTCTTTCAGATAAAAAAATCAAAAAATGGATAGAATTTAAAAAAGGAAAATAAAGAAAGAAAAAAAAAAAATGAATTTTTCCTTCTTTCAAATTAACATTTCGTCTTTGAAATAAAAATGTAAAAAAAAATTGGATGAAGAAAAAAAAAAAAAAAAAAATCTTGAGAAGAGAACAAAAAAATTTTTTGAAATTTTTTCATGTTATATTTTTTTTTTCAAAGCAAATTTAAAGAAAAAGAAGGTTGATAAATAATGAATATAAATTTTTTATTTTTTTGTTTAAATAAAATTTTGTTTATTTGTTAAAAAAAAAAAAAAATAGAAAAAAAAAAATCGATATAGGATTTTTCTCCAAATTTTTTAAAATTTTTTATTGATGAAAATAAATTTTATTTTATTGATCAAAAAAAAAAAAAATTTTTTTTTTTAGTTTTGTTTTATTATTTTTTTTTAATTTCAAAATTTTTTTTGTAAATTGAAAAAAGGCAATTAATCAGAAAAATTGGAAATTTTAAAAAAATAAAAAAAAAATTAAAAAAAAAAATTAAAAAAACTTAAAAAATTGTGAAAGAAAAATGAAATTTTTTCAAAAAAAAAATTTTTTAATAAAAAGAAATAAAGAATAAAAAAAAAGAAAGAAAAGAAAAAACAAAAAAAAAATTTGAAATAGAAAATTTTAAAATAAGAAAAATAAAATCAAATTTTCATTTAAGAAATATTTTTTAAAAAATTTTTTTTTAAATAAAAAGATAAAATGTCATTTTTTATTTGACATTTTTTGATCAAAAAATCGAAAAAAGGAAATTGAAAAATGGATTTAGAAAATGCCATAAAGAAATGCCTTTATATTCTCTAACTGAATAAAATGAATAAAAAAAAATTGATTTGCAAAGAAATGAAGATAGAAAGAAAAAAAAATTTTCTAAGAAAAAAAGAAATAAAGGAAAAAAAGAAAATGATTATTTTAATGAAAACTTTAAAAAAAAAGAAAAAGAAAACTAAAAAAAAAAAAAAGAAAAGATTTTTTTTAAATTTTAAATGTTAAAAAAAGAAAAGAAAACAAATAAAAAAATATATTTCGGAAAAAAAAATTAAAGAAAAAAAAATGAAAAAAGAAAGAAAAATTTATGCCTTTCTGAAAATAAAAAAAGAAAATTTAAAATGAAACGAATTTTTAAAAAAAAAAAAAGGAAGTTTGCTTTGAAAAAATAAAGAAAAAATTGGGAAAAAAAAAGATTGAGAAAGGAAGTGAATTGAAAATCAAGAAAAATAAAGAAAAGAATCAAAATAAAAAAAAAGAAAAAAATAAAGAAAAAAGAAAAAAAAAAATTAGGAAGAAAATTTTCCGAAAAGAAAAAAGAAAAAAAAAAGAAAATAAAAAATGAAAGAAAAAAGGAATATGCAAGGAAAAAAAAATTCAAAAAAAAGAAAAAAAAAAAATTAAAATAAAAAAAAGAAAAAAAAAGAAAAGAAAGAAAAAGGGAAGGAAGAAAAAAAAAAAAAAAAAAAAAAGAAAGAAAAAAAAAGGAAAGAAAAGGAAAAGGAAGAAAGAAAAGAAAAGTGAAGGAAGGAAGGAAGAAAAAAAAAAGAAAGGAAGAAAGGGAAAGAAGAAAGAAAGAAAAAAAGAAAAAAGAAAGAAAAAATAAGAATAAGGAAAAAAGAAAGGAAGAAAAAAAAAAAAAAAAAGAAAAAAGGAAAAGAAAATAGAAAGAAAGAAAGAAAAAAAAAGGAAAAAAAGGAAAAAGGAAGGAAGGAAGAAAAAAAAGAAAGAAAGGAAGAAAGAAAGAAAAGGAAGGAAAAAGAAAGAAAGGAAGAAAAGAAAGAAGGAAGGAAGAAAGAAAGAAAATGAAAAAAGAAGGAAGAAAAAAAATTAAGGAAAAGAAAAAAAAAAAAGGAAAAGAAAGGAAGAAAATTTAAAAAAAAAGAATTTTGAAGAAAGAAAAAAAAAAATTGAAGAAGGAAAAAAAGAAAGAAAAAAAAAGAAAAAAAAAGAAAATTGAAAAGAAAGAAAGAAAGAAAAGAAAAAGAAAGAAAAAAAAAAAAGGAAGTTGAAAAAAAAAAAAAAAAGAAAAAAAATAAAAAAGAAAAAAAAAAAAAAAAAAAAAAAAGAAAAAAAAAAATGTTCCGAAAAAAAAAAAAAAAGAAAATTAAGAAAAAAAAAGAAAAAGTAAAAAAAAGGCCCATGACAAAGGAAATATGAAATCCTTTAAAAATAGAAAAAATTTGAAAAATTAAGAAAAGATCAAAAGGAAAATGAAAGAAAAAAAAAACAATAAAAAAAATTTAAAGAAAAAAAAAAGATAGAAAAAAAATCTAAAGAAGGAAAAAGAAAAAAAAAAAAAAATTTAAAAAAAATAAAATTTTTAAAGAATGGATTACAAAAAAAAATAAAAAATGAAATCTTTAATACGAAAAAAAAATAAAAAAGTTTGTCCTGAAAGAAAATAAATTAAAAGAAAAAAAGATAGAATGATAAAGAAAATAAAGAAAAAAAAAAGAAAAGAAAAGAAAAATTCGGAAAAAAAATAAAATAATAAGAAAAAATTTTGAAAAAAAGATTAAGGGTGAAAAAAAAGTAAATTGAAAAAAAAGAAACAGAGTGGAAAAAAAAGAGAAAAAGAAAAAAAAGAAGGATATATATAAAAAAAAAAAAAATAAGAAAAGGAACGAACAACAATAAAAATTTTAAAAAAATAATGAAAACCAAGGTGAAAGGAAAAAAAACAAAGAAAGTAGAAATAAAAAGGAAAAGAAAAAATAAAAAGGAAGAAATTTTAAAAAATTTTGGAAAGAAAGAAAAAATTAAATGAAAAAAAAAAAAAAAGAAAATAAAGAAAAAAGGAATTTAATAAAAAAAAAAGAAGAAAAAAGAGACAAAAGGATAAAAAGAAAGAAAGAAAAACAAAGTGAGGAAGAAAATAAGGAAGGAAACTAATTAAATGTTTATCAAAAAAAATCTCCTTCCCCATTATTTTAGAATTCATTCTAAATTCTCGAAAAATAAATCTATAATTTTTTTTTGTTTTTTCTGATGAAATGTTTATTGAAATTAGATGTTTGCTAAAATAAGTAAAGAAATAAAGAAAAGGAAGGAAGGAATTTTGAAATTTAAAAAGAAAAGAAAAAGAGATTTATATATCTTCATTATTTAGAAAAAGAAGAAAGAAAGAAAAGAAATCAATATAGATTTTTGAAATGAATATATATATAAATAATTTTTATAAATTTCTCATTAATAGGAATTCTGCCATATGAAATTTTATAAAGTATAAAATTTCAGATAATATGAAAGAAAAATTTGTTCTTGGAAAAAAATAACGTTCAAAATGATTTGTTTTATATTCAAATCTACTGGGAATAAATTTTGTCAAATCTTTTTTTTGATTAAATGAAATATTTAAGATTTAAAATATGATTTGAAAATATTTCAAAAAAGGAAAATTAATTATAACAAAAGGAATTTAAAATGAAGGAATTAATATAGGAAAAATTTTAATTGAATTAAAATTTTTTGAAACCTTTGAATGAAAATAAGGGTTTGTTGACAGATAAAATTCATCATTTAAAGGAAGGAAAATCTTTAAATTTTTTAAGTTTCAAATCTAAAAACATTTCTTGGAAAAATTGTAAATTTATTTAATATAAATAGGACTGAAAATGCCTATTGAAGGAAAATATATATATTAAATCATAAATATATTTTTCAAAAAAATATATATAAACAGAATTGAAAGAATTCTATCATATAAAACACAAAAATGATGTAAATATTAAATCTATAGTTTTTATTTCTTTTTAAATAAAATATTTTTTCTCTTTGTCATTTTGAAAATTATTATATATATTTTTTTAATGTTTATTTGTTATATTTATTATTCATTTATATGTCCATTTGATAAGTTTTGAATAAGTTATTATGCCTATATTCCATGAGAATGGTTTATATCTCTATATTAATAAAAATCCATGTTTTTCTTTTATTTAATTTTTTATTCTTTTCGACCGTCTTTAAATAAATCAACTCTGAATTATTATTGATATTTTGGAAAATTTTTTCGTATATTTTTTACTCATTTCTTCATATTTATATATATCTTTATTATTAATTCGATGATTTAGTTTCCATATCAAAATAAAAGTTTATGTTAATACCTTTAACTCTGAAGTCATTCATTTCAATTTGCTTTCCGAGGAAAAAGATATTCCAAATCATTATCAACTCCTAAGCTCGAATTTAAAATATATTCAAAGGCGATTTAATCATATTTATTAATCTGTTACCATTTCAATTATCATTTTGAACATTTTATACTCTTCTTTACCCGAATTTTCAAAAACAGTTGGTTAAATTTCTGATTTTTTAAATTTTAACAATAACATGTCATTTCAATATTCATCTCGGTAAGTAATATTTTTCACTGCTGAATATTCCAAAATATTACAAACACATTAGGGTCAAGGAATTTATATGGTTTTATATATATAAATAACTTAATATAAATAAATTATCAAATCCTTATCCTTTAATTAAGAATCTGTGTTTTTCTTCGCTTGAACCGGTTCTAATGCTCCAAAAGGTGTTAAAAAAAAAAAAATAAAAAACTAGCTCCCTGTTTAACAGTCCTATTATTAAAAAACTCTATTGAAGATCCGCCAAAAAATATGTTATTTTCTCGGCGCTTAGTTGAGTCTGATTTGGAAAATCTTCGTCACCGAGGCCCATTTGGAACAGTTGGTATGATGTCAATTAACAACCTAACTGTCAGGGTTTCAATTCTCGGTAGTGGATGCGCACTGCTGATGAGTCCCAAATATAGGACGAAACGGCCGTCCAGTGCTTTCTGCATTCTGTTGAGGTTTTCTATCAGACTCGATGAATTAATATAAATATATATATATATATATATATATATATATATATATAATATATTCATATAATTATATCTCCCAAAGAATATCGACGTATGAAACATTTGAAGCATATGAATTCTATCAAACCGAATAAATCATTTTGTTTATAATGGTGAAAAGTTTTTTTAATCAGTTTTCTTTTTTTTAATGAAATTTCTATAAATACAGATTTTGGTTGACGTGAGTTCCAAAGGTTTTTACGAAAAATGGTTGGCCTGAATTCAGAGTTGAAATTTTTCCTAGAAAATTGCCAAATCCATTAATTTAAAAAATTTGAGTAAAGAATTTGTCTTGGTGATATTGACCCATAAATGGAAAAATTATGTAGTTCATAAAAAAAAATATTATTTTTATAAGTTATATTAAATGGATTCGACTGAATTTTACAAAAAAATTTGAATGTTTCAAGTAGCTATCCATATATATATATAAAGCAGTGAATAAATGGATTTTTTATTTTATATATATATATATATATATATATATATATATATATATATATATATTTTTTAAGAGATATCATTTCTAAATGAGATTTATTAACTGTTTCGCTGTATTTAGCTCATCAATGGATAGACGTCCGATTCTAGCTAGGATCAAAACCTGAAATTGGTTAAAATTTTCAGAGAATCAATAAATAATATATAGGATGAACATGGATTTAAACGTATTTAAAATTTTATAAATTAAAATTCGACTTTTGAACAAAATTGATTCGTTTTTTCGAAACAATTTATCTTTTGTTATTATCAATAACATTCATTGTTTAAAAACTCAAAATTCTTCCCAAGTTATTATTATATAAAATTATTTTTATAGGAATTATATATTGTCATCCAAAGACAGACTGTTTCACTGAATCACCGCTCGTCAAAAAAAATTTCATTTCGGCAAAATAAATCGAAACACAGTTGAATTGACGTCATATCTGAGAATCTTCCCCAAATAAATGCAACAGTTGAATTAGACCAGGAAATATATATTCAAAAAAAATACAAATTGAACCTAAAAAATAAAAATAAATAACAAGTATATTTTAACTTTATAAAAATCAGATAATTTGAACCCGCTATGTTGGTTTTTTTTATTAAGGCATCGTCATCTTGATTTTTTCAAATGAATTTCATTTAAAAAAAAATAATTGTAATTGGAAAAAAATAAAAAATGTTTATTCACCAACATATACAACAATATTTAAACCATTTCAAACGGAAAAAAAAATGAAATAAAAATTTCCGGATCTAAAAAATATTTATACAAAAAACCGTTTTGAGTCCTTTTCAAAACTGGGTTTCACGTCATTGTGAAAATCGTTAGACAAACAACTTAATTTCACAATTAATTTCGATTATTCCCAAATTTATTTCCTTTAACGGAAAAAGTGTGAACAGTGGCACCAATAATGACATTCGCATTTATAATTTTCCGAATATGTTCATATTTTTTAAAAACTAAAAAAATTTTTTTTTTTTTTTTTTTTAATGTATTTTTGAATGTGTGTGTGTGTGTGTGTATATAAATTATGTCTGGGTGCTTATGTATTATAATCTGATTGTGTTTTTTGTTGTTTAAATACGCGTATATTTAAGACCACATTCACAAACTTTAAAATAAAAACAAAAAAAATGGAAAAAAAAAATATATATATATGTATTGTCAAATGACCGGATGTATTGTAGACGTCTTGTCGAACGTAATTTCAATGAAAAAATGAATTGAATAAACATATATATTTTTTTTTCTCAATAATTTTGTAGTTTTAAACTTAATAGTGATTAAATTTGGATTTTAAAATTGCCAGTTTTTAATTTTAATATTACATTTTATCATATAATTTTATAATTATTAGTTAGTATAAATTATTTTTAATATTACACGTATTTAAAGATCTGAATAGCTATTATAGCAGGATTTCGTTGTCAAGCTTTTGAATCTTTCTATACTTCGTTTTTGATTGGTTATTCTAGCTTTTGTAACAATGTTTCCCCAGTGTAGGATCGTTAATTAATCTGAAACTTTTAAAACCATTTATTTTATTTTCAACATCATCACTTGATAAGACACAGAGTGTGTTGAAACAAAATGGCTATTTTTGTAGTGATTTTATAACATACTTATGTTATAAATTTTTTTATAAAAAATAATTATATATATATATATATATATATATATATATATATATATATTGTCATCCACTTTGAGATTTTATATTAAATTGCGGCAAAAAAGAATGATTGTCGTTGAACGTTTAAAAGTCAATCTTAAATATTGAT